AAAATGTATTATTATTATTAAAATGTATTATAATAATTATTATTAATAATAATTAATATTACTTAGTCATAAAAAACTGTTGCATTATAATGAGCAGGAAACACTGTGCACACAAATGATTAATGAATTGATTTCAGTGTCAGTGTGTGTAAACTCTACCTTTTCACATGCCATCACTAAAATGGAAAAAGAGCTATAAACTGGCAAAGGCAGACCTTCTACAAAGCATCAGCTTTAAATCGAGAATACATCTCTGCTTCAGATCAAATAAAATATTTTCAGTGTATAATAATTGAATTAAATAGTTACCTCTCAGAAGTGGGAGTGCACAGTCCTGTAGCTCCATGACAACACCATCCAGGACTGGCAACATGGGCGTAATGTCCAAAAGGAGCAAGATGACTGGCTGATAGAGGGAGGAGGGAAGGAAGTAAGCAGTGGGATGAGGAGTATGCAATGAATAAAACATGCTGAACTGAATTTAAATTCACTTAAATCATAATTCCCATGTATAATGACACGACAGTAGGGGACTTAGTCGTCTCTGGAACAGAGGGTGAAGGCCTAAGCCATTTGGCTCACTGACTATGGCCTGTGCCAAATGGGTCAAGTGGTTTTAAAGTTGGCCTAAGACTCTTGGCACAAGATTTCACTGACTTCAAGGACAATCCCAGCTCGTCCCAGGACGCATGCACAAGCGAGTGCAATCTGATCAATCCCCACAGGGACAACATCTGTTCAGTGTCACCCCCAAATATGACCTGGAAAACTTGTGATATTCACAGCTGTTTACTGGGAGTTGTCGGTCTCCTGTGCGTGTCTCGTGGTGCTGCCCTTACACTGCCTAATGAGATAAGGGAATTGAGTGTTATGTGAGCAAGACAAAACCCTCCTTTACCTGATCTTTGCCAAAGACATCTCCCTTGGCAATGCTGAACAACAGAGAATAGGCAATCTGCCCAGCAGCGCCGGTCACCAGAACTCTAATAGGCTCAGACTGCAAGACACAAGGCAAACAACACAGTGGTTAGTACTATGAGCATTGATTTCAGGAAGAGGACAGGTATGAAAGTGACAGGTTAGTTGTCCACTGCACGTGGGTTGGGTGTCTATTCTTGTCAACAGGATTTACTAAAGCGAGGGGTCAGTTCAAAAATAGACTGCCTGCCCTCCACACAGCACTCACTGTTACATAACAAAACCAGGATATACTTAGGTTATCAGGTTCATCGCCATCTTTACCATTCACTCAATAGCATTCATTCAAATCCCCCTAAATATCGAACTTGCTCAGCAGCAAATTACAAAGGCGTTACGTTACGTTACGTTACGTGAATGTATGAGTCCTAAAGGGTTACGCCACGCCGCGAGCAATAACTTTACTGCTGTATTTAAGTATCATTTAACGTTAAATATGTTTACATAGCAAACTTTGACCAACTTAGCGAAACTTAGTAAATCGCCTGTTGACTCAACCGGAATAACTGCGGTGTTATCCGCGTTACAGTGCGTTATTGATAAAGGATAATCGATATACTCTCGCTCTACTCACCATGTCCGCACGATAGCTTCGGTCAGCCTGTCTCTCCCACTTCTCTCTCCCAGCCCCGAGGTCACTCCTATTTAAGTCCTCAGCGGATCACGACACTTGTAGCAGTCTGACGGCAGACTGAAGATCCAGGTAATTGTAGTTTTTTTTGTTATAGTCACTGTAGTCCTTTATCAAAAACAACCAACTAGTCTCAACAAGTTACACTGTAGATAGTTTAAAAGCGTCGCTATCAGTAACACTATACAACCTACGCTGCGCACGCAGGTTTCTACAGGGTATCGCAGTGTAATGAGCGTAATGGTCGACGTACAGGCTGCTCCTGGTCGTCAAGGAGCTAACGTTAGCTGCTTGTTGTTGCTTAGCGACGTGAATCCAGCGGCAGCAAAGAGCCAGCAAAGAGCCAGCTAGCATCGAGAGCACTACTTATTATATCATATGAGTTATATAGACAGAAGACCCACACGTGTAACTAATTAGATGATGAGAACAGCGACTAATGCCGTTGAGATAACGTATCCATACCGAGGAGACTGGTTAAATGTGAACCTTTTAAGTGCTAAGCAGGTTGTTAAGTTCAGATACTGCTAACTCACTTTACCCGGAGTTCACCTGTTATTATCCTCACCAAACGAAAACTATTAATGTTTGCAGTGAAAGGCATGTTTTAAGTTTGGTAGTTACCATTGACGTTTAGGTAAAACAGCAGGAGAGAGCACAAAAACTTTATCAGTTTTCGTCACTGACATAATCAGGGTAAGTTGATGATAACTGTCTGACTGTCTGTCTCTCTGACTGTCTGTCTGCAGCTGGCGTACTGTGTGGTCCAGTTCCTGGAGAAAGACAGCAGTCTAACAGAGCCGGTGAGTCTGCCGACGTCCCTCCTGTTTCCACGGCAACGCTGCAAATGTGCTGCTGCCGATCTTTTGTTTCCATAGTAACGCACAGAGGGCGGATACAGTCACTAACCCAGATTGAATGCTCAGGCTGTGACCTTTGACCCCCCCTTACAGGTGATCATGGGTCTGCTGAAGTTCTGGCCGAAGACTCACAGTCCGAAGGAGGTGATGTTCCTGAACGAGCTGGAGGAGATTCTGGACGTCATCGAGCCCTCAGAGTTCGTTAAAGTCCAGGAGCCGCTCTTCAGGCAGCTCGCCAAGTGTGTGTCCAGCCCCCATTTCCAGGTACCAGAACTACATCAGAACACAGAACCAGAACCAGAACTACATCAGAACACAGAACCAGAACCAGACCACTTAAGAAGTTTCACCCGACACTACTGCCGTCACAAACAGCTGTAGCAGATTGGATGCTAACCATTAGCTGCTGCAGGAATTATTGATCTACAGTTTATTTTCAATCAATGAAAGTGATCTGAGACTCCTGTCTGTCTGGCTCACTGATCACTCACACACACACTCACAGACA